TTGTTCATTCATTAGCGTCATGTCATCTTCTTGTCTTATATACAAATACAACATTCTACAAAATGTTTTTGTTGGTTTTCTTTTTAACTTCATTTAAATAATCCAAGATGTTTTTACTCCAGTCTCACACAGCTATACTGGGGCTTTTCCCAAGAATAAGCAGCAACAACTGCTTGTATATAAGAACTGGCTTCAGACAAAAAAATGCTCATTCCCCATGAAATGTAATTTATTCCTGCTTTTAAGTTAGTGCACTTCACTTTCCTCTGTGTATATTGTCAGATCCACTAGTTAATGCACTGCATGGCATCAAGTGCAGTACTTTGACTTTATCTCCTGCTTTGTTCTCTCCACAGCCTACAAAGCCCAGCTTACAACAAAGACACAAAGGCAGAGTCAGCTTATTTACTGCTCATATTGCTAGGTTCTATTTGCCACACTGTCATAAAATCATTTACCTATCTGCAACCAAATCTGTCTGTGAAATATTTACATTGTTATATGAATACTTCTTGGTAGTTACATGAAGTTTCTTTTTTTTTTTTTTTTTTTTTTTTTTTTTTTTGAAATTCCATACTATTGTAGGCCTTATATAAACAGATATACCCCTTCAAGAAAGTGTACTGGAGGGCCTACAAGACTCTTAGGTATACTTTTATTTCAAAATTTACAGCATGTATTTGAAATACTGTATAGTCATGTGTCTATGTAGTCACAGAATTATACCAATGACTTGCAATTAACCAGTTTTCCTCTCTGGTGGGTTCTGCACACAGGAAATAGCAAAATACTTCAACACTGAGCTGAATATTCTAATATTCAAATTTGACACCAGATAGATCACTTTTTAAAATATGAGCTTATAAATATCTTGATCCAGTTTACTTGGAATAAATCCACTGAAGAAGAAGAAATTAAGTATACGTCTATACAGATAGGTAGAAATAAGCATCTCTTTATATATACATAAATATATGTTGCAGGGGAATTACAGAATTCCCAGACTTGGAATTTAGTAACAACTGCTTTAGTCTTTTACCTGTCATGACAAAATATGGAAAAATAACTCAATATCCTCCCAGATAAATAGCCAAAAAAGCAGAAATGCGTTTTGTCCATGTAAAAAAAGTACCTACAGTCAGTGGGTTGTGCACTTGTTTGACCAAAATGCATGTCAATTCAAACAAGTGGAAAAACAAAGCCTCTTGTTAAAAATAAGAATAGAAGGTTTACAGTGACAAATATTTTGTAGCTATATGTACAGGAAATGGTGAAAATATATTTATAGAACTTCTAAGAATAGAAATAAAACTATATTATAGTTTTGAAATTTCTGAATTCTAAAAAAAAATCCCCAGTTTTAGAATGAAATATCTTACAATATCTATTTTACCCTGGAATAGGAAAAGCTTTAAAAATATAAAAGTTAGAATACTTCCTTGATTACAAAAGTGTCTAATTATTATAACCTTTATAGAATGACAATATTATGTATAAATGTAACCTTATTTATTAGCCTCAGTAAATTATTCTAGCTTGCTGCATTATGGAGAAACTGCAAGCTGCAATGTTATCTCAGGAATAGGTGATATGATAAAGCTGCTGTCATGTTTCACTGTTGAAAACAACCTTATCAAAATTAATTTGTCAGGGAAGAAGACTTTATTTAAAAATTACTCATGGGTTGTGCACAGTATAATTGACCACAACACAATAAATCCAATTTAGTTTTCTTTTAATTAAGGTATTTTTGCACTTCTAGTAAATCTAATAAAAATTACAGTATTTTAATGAATGTCACAGCATGTAAATGACAGGTGAAAAACTTTGTTTATTCAAACTATGTTCCCTGACAAACAGGATATGAAATAAAGTAATTGTTAGGTATATGCCTTGATTTTGCAATTCAGTCCTATGGAAACTAGTAAAGCAAAAGGAAGCCATTTGAGGAATAACTCTTTTCTTCATGGAAAAAATTTGGCCCAAAAATGTGTAACTTAAAAAAATACAAATATTAGTGTTATGCACCAAATTTAAACCATAAAGATGCAACATGGTCTCACGTATGGATGCTTGTGGCAGTACAAAGCACTGTTGATTCCAGTGAGATTCCCCTCATTGAGACATCAATCTGTAAGAATGACATTGCTAAAACACAAGCATGACATCCTCCTGATCTCTTCATTCAAAGTGAAGGCAATGTAAAAGGAATGTTCCAAAAAAAAAAAAAAAAAATTACTCCCCAAATTTACTTGTTCTGAGTTACAAGAGGCAGATGACAATGACATTTACACACAGATGGTCTAAAGACATATATGAGCTTAACTCTGCTGACATCTAAACATGCTGTAAATTCAGAGCTTTGTTCAATGTGTTTCCTATAGGTAAAAACAAACAAACAAAAACCCCCAAATTAATATTGAATAAAGCATACTTTTGTGCTATTCTTGGGGTTTTTTTCCAACAAATCAGACAATGACATTTCCTAGGTCATCACACATATTTCCGGAATCCAACCAATTATATTAAAATGAACAACTTGTATATGCATGTCTGGAAGAGACCTAGCCATCTACCAAAAAACAGTAGTCAAGTTGTTTAGTGTTGAGAAAAATTAATTCTTACACAACACATATACTCTCAAAATTATACACCACTTCACTTGTTTTCTCAGGATTCTCTGTTTTAGATATAATGACCATAGATAGGGAACAATAAGACATTTATCAGAGGAACTCTTTAAAGATGAGTGTTCAATTAAAGAGAGTCTCCATGGCAAACATAGAGAAAGAGATAAGAAGCTCATTAGTGGATAATCACCTTTAGCAACCTTCTGCAGAATTCTGTGTTGGATAATTGCATTAGACAAAATTAGGACAAATTCGTTAGAATTGAACCACAAAGGTCTCTGTATTAAATGTAAAGTTAGATGTTTCTGATATCAGACATAGACGTATAGAAGGAACTGTTGAAAATAATTAGTTAAATTTTTTATTGAACATCGACAAAAAATACCTTAACGCTAATTTGGTGCATTATGGCATTATGCCTGATGTTAAATCTTAAATCAAGAATCTGTCACATTCCTAGGTTATGTTTCAGTAATTTGTAATCACCACTATTAAAATGTGTACCTTGGGGGTTTTTATTTTTTATTTGTCAAGCTTTTACCCCTTAGATTCTTCACTGCTATTGATTAGAGAACTGTCTTCTCCAAAAAATATTTTCCTTCTGCATGAGTTTCTGCAGTAAATCAAGTCACCTCTTCATCCTCTTTCACATGCACTGAAAAGTTTGAGTTCCTTCAGTCTCTAGACAAAATAACAATTTTGAAATCTAACAGAGCTTGTTTCCTCTTTTTCTGAATCCTTTCCAATTTGTCAACTATTTGCCCTAGAGACTGACACTCTTCAGATAATGACGTCTCTAATCATGAATAAAAAGAAATATGTTTTTTATATTCTTATGTGACAGTCTTCTACTTACACAATAGAGTTATGTTTAACCATAAGACTACTTTGGGAGCTTATCATTCTAGTTCAAATTTACACTGTGTATTTTCACATCCCCTTGGAATAAAAACAAAATCTATCTGAAGTTCTGCTGAAAAATGTATCAAAAGAAAGCATGTGTAACACAGACTGTGATGACTGACTGGCAAGTGGAAGCATCAGGTTCAAGTCTCTCATCTTCCTCATTTAAGAGTACAATTTTTTATGCCAATTCATTTCAAAATTGGCAGATCAAGAATTTGAACAATGGTCTACAGTGTAGTCCATTAGCCTTCTACTTTGTTACAAACGTTAAGTTTTGTGCAAGTTAACATATTCTCATCAAATCTTTTTTATGATTATCTCCACAAACAAAATCTGGGTTTGTGCCTTGATTGTGTATCTTCTTCATTATTAGCTAGCATTTTTTCTGGGAAGTAGGAGGGGAAGATTCAGGAGTTGTAAGTAATTTTACTAGGAAATAATATTATCAGTAATTGTATTTTCTTCAAGATCATGGATAAACATATTAAATAACTCTAAGCTAAGAATAGGAAACAATAGAATGCTATTTTCAGTGATACACATTTCCCATATATAACTACTTTTTTTTGGTGCTGGTTAACTAGGTTTTAACCCAACTGAATTTTGATTTTATTTTTTTTAATCAGAAATTTATCAGAATGTTAATTTCAGTTGGAATGTTTTTATAGGCCCTGCAAGACTGCATCACATTTTTTAGACAAATATAAATGTTACATTTTGTAAAGTTAACCTGTGAATCCAGTAAAGGATTTCAAGCTTGCCTGATATAAGTGTTTCATCAAAATACTATCTTTATTGCATTTGGTTGTGTATAGCAGTGATAATTTCTCCATTTTACCAGCTTAGCTCCTTCCATTACTCTGCAAACATTATTTCTCTCTAATACTCTTAGAAAATAAGATTTACGCATAAAACAGGATCCCCAACTACTGCTGTATTTCTAATGTGAGCAAGGGAAAAGGATTTGACCTGCAGTATTTGTTAGAATACAAGGGATATGCTATATAGAAATCTTAAGATATCAAATCTGACTGAGAATGAGGGGAAGTCCCTCTAACTCAATTGTTTTGGTAGTTTCAAACTTCTGCTTGCTCAGTATCCAAGATACTACATGACAAAAAGTCAGAAGTATTAATGGATCCCAAAATTACATTCCCATAGTTGTAAACGTGTTGAACACACACACTTATGTCCTACTTATTACTAGGTTTCTAGTTCTTATTTCATTACATACATTTTTAAATAAATGAGAAATATCATTTTAATAGGGTATTGACTTAAAAATTAGTAGGTGCATATGTTGAGATACATCACATATGTGAGCAAGAGATCAAAATACTCAAAAAGGCTTTTCTTTCTTTAATCACAGTCTAAAAGTTAATAATTAAAATAGAGATTTAAAGTTGTTCATACTAATAAATATAATGGATATATTCAAGAACATTACTGTAGCATTTTTCTTACCTCTACAGATAGGAACAGGGAAGTCCCATGATGCTGTATTCACAGAGTTTGCTATGCAAGTAAGCTGAGGGTGGCCATCCAAAATATATCCAGTTACACAGCTGTATCGGATTTTGTCACCAACATCAAATCTTGTACCGTACAAGATACCCTTTGGTGGAACTCCTGGATTGCCACAGGAACTACTCTGTAATTCTGGAGAAGACATATTTTTATTACTTATACTGTTTTTATAAATCAGTACTGCATTTTGCTGAAGAATATAGAACACATAAATTATGGCAACTTTAGGCAGATAATGTGTTTTCATGGATGTTATACAACTCTTAACACTGAAAAGACAATACTGACAGTCTATTAAGTGTCTGCTTATGTACCCACATATCGAAAGGTAGAATATTATAGGAAAATGAGCAAGAGGTTTTCCTTAAGCTCCAGCTGTAGATATATTCATATATTTTTCTTAATTGATAACAAAGAACTTACTACATAGGAAGAGGAAACAAAGGAACTTGATATATTTCTGACTCAAGTTATACAAATGCAAAACAATAAACAAAACTAATACAGACATGAAAGAACATCAGATTCGAATCCGTCAAATTTGGAAGAATAAATAAAACTACTCAAGACAGAACACGAGGAGAAAGTTTTAACAAACATAAGCTTAAGCATGATCAGGAAGCTGTTGAATGATTTAACAGATTTTAGATAATGAGTCAAAAGTGGTGAGATACTGTGGGTAACAGATTTCTGAGCAAAAGATTGGTTAATGTAAACATATGGAATACCATAGATCTGGGTGACTTCTACTCTAATGCAGAGCTTTAAACCACTAAGAATGCAAAATGAGTCGCAGCTCTGCTGTTAGTTTGATCTCGGAGGACATTAATTAGAGTTCATTTTTACTAGGTGGTACTCACACTCAACTTTTGACTGATGTTTCAGCATCATAAATAGCTCGATTACAACATTTCCCATCATTTACTGCTGAAGTCCTTTACTTAATGGACATAGAAAGATAGATTTTGTACAAATATGAGCAAAAGAGGTTTCATAATCTCATCCTGAGGTGTTTAAAGCTTGTACCAAGTATACTTACCAGCCTAGTGGTAACAGGGAACAGACAAATCAGGTAAACCTGTACTTGGTTTCATAGCAAATTTCCCTAATCTACAAAGTAAGGAAACAAGATGGAAGAACAGAAGGGTATATATGTATTGTCTTAATTTCTTTTTCTGAGTTCCATATACTAAATTATTCTTTTGCATCCCTGATGTGCTCATGAGTATGTGTACACAGGCACACACACACATATACTAACATATTTAAATATCATAGACTAGAATCATAGAATGGGTTGGGTTGGAAGGGACCTTAAAGATCACCTAGTTCCAACCCCCCTGCCATGGGCAGGGACACTTTCCACTAGATCAGGTTGCTCAAAGACCCATCCAACCTGGCCTTGAACACTTCCAGGGATGGGTCATCCACAATGTCTCTGGGCAACCTGTTCCAGTGCCTCACCACCCTCACAGTGAAGAACTTCTTACTTACATCTAATCTCAGTCTACCCTCTTTCAGTTGAAAACCATTACCCCTTGTCCTATTACTACAATCCCAGTTAAAGAGTTCTTCCCAATCTTTCCTATAGGCCCACTTTAAGTACTGAAAGGCCACTATAAGGTTTCCCTGGAGCCTTCTCTTCTCCAGGCCAAAAAACCTCAACTCTCCCAGCCTACCCTGACAGGGGAGGTGCTCCAGCCCCCTGATCATCTTTGTGGCCCTCCTCTGGACCCATGCAAGCAAGTCCATGTCTCTCTTATGTTGAAGGCCCCAGACTTGAACACAGTACTCCAGGTGGGGTGTCATGAGAGCGGACTAGAGGGGGAGAATCATTTCCCTTGACCTGCTGGTTACACTTCTTTTGATGCAGCCCAGGATATGGTTGGCTTTTTGGGCTACAAGTGCACATTGCTGGATCATATTTAGTTTTTCATCCACTAATACCCCCAAGTCCTTCTCCACAGGGCTGCTCTCAACCCACTCATTGCCCAGCCTGTATTTGTACGTGGAATGCCCCAACACATGTGCAGGACCTTGCACTTGGCCTTGTTGAACTTCATGAGGTTCACACGGCCCCACCCCTCAAGCCTGTCAAGGTCCCTCTGGATGGCATCCTTTCCCTCCAGCGCGTCGCCCACACCACACAGCATGGTGTCATCAGCAAACTTGCTGAGGGTGCACACAATCCCACTGCCCATATCTCTTGACAAAGATGTTAAACAGCACCAGTCCCAATACTGACCCCTGAGGAATGCAACTTGTCACTGCTCTCCACTTGGACATTGAACCGTTGACCACAAGTCTTTGTGGGCTTCAAGCCTCTCCACTTGGCCAGTGGAATGCCCCTCCTTCGAAGCAGTGCCCTCCCGGGCACGAACTGCCGTGCAAACCGTGGCGCCACACCCTGGCTGATGTGCCACGCCCTGTTTGCCCGCTCTGGCCACAGCGCTGCCCTTGGTGGGAGTGGGGTGTGGCTGCCGTTACTCCTGGCCCTGCCCACGCCTCATCAGCCGCTCACCCTCGTGAGAGCTGCTGGCTCCTGGCAGGTCTCTGCGCTCTCCTGGGCTTTCTCTGCCTCAGGAAACCCCTCCTGTATGCCGTGAACCCCTGCTCCACTGCAGAACGTGCCTGCACCAGTGCTGATCGCCTCAGCAAGCAGTATGGCTCATGAGATAGGCTACATTGTCAAACTTCCATGCCAAGAACTAGGATATATTATTAGATTTCTGATACCAGCCATGAAACAAAACTATGTAACAGTTATTAAAAGGAAGAATCCAGTATAGTCATATATATGCTATACACCTCTATACATATATATGCTATATATGAAATATATGCTAACAATGTGTTCATCTGCAAGATTGCTGTACCAATCATGTTTTGATGTGAATATGTTAAATATGCAGATTAGTTGCTGATGTTGCTGCTATTTCTTTCTTTCTCTTACATAATAAACTCTGTGAATCTGGATTTGACTTTCATTGCCTTGCACAAGGACACAACATAGAAGTAAAAAGATAGCCTGTCTCATCTTGGTCACTTCAAAGCTCACCTAAACAGTTGATATTCTTACTACTGCTTTATCAAGCTACGTGTTCTGTCCTCCAGCAAAACTCCCCTGTTCTGAAATCTGCTTGCAAGCTTTACAAAGAAGGAAACACTGCAGTTGACTCCTGCATATTTGTTCAAAGGGATTTCTCTTAAATCCTTTAAAGGTTTTCAAGGCCACTCCAGTTATTATTTATCATCATAGCATGTCAAAATAGAGGTAAGAATATCATCCTGTGGATTTTGGTTATCTTAACAAATCATATTATATTAACTTGAAAACTCTGCCTGTACACAGTGTTTTTATTTGCAGCTTCTCCAAGAAGATGAAATCTTTCAGAGGCCTGTATTTCTTAGTGCTTTGTAAAAAGGTCACAAAAAGATTCTCTGTCCCTTGAAATGAAGAATATAAAGATTAGTGATGCCTTTAACAGTCACTGCCTAAAACTGCTTACTTTACTCTTACTGCTGTCTCATCAAGAATTACCCACAGAAGGCAATATATTCTTATGAAATTATATTATATTTTAAAGCACTAATTAAAAATCAACCTCCTTCTAAAACGAAACTGATTTTCCAGTTAAAATACTATATAACTTGTCTAAAAAGAATACTTGCCATTTTCCTTTAACTTTTTAATATTATGGAAGAAGTTAGTGAGCATGTTGCTACTTCTAACCCTTCAAGTCATTTTGTTCCTGATTCCAGATAATAAAATAGAAAATAAATTGTACAATTTAAAATACATTAGGTTTTTTTCTGTGAGTATTTTCATTTTGAACATATACAAGTGCATTATTTTGGGGGGTGTGTGTGTTTGTAATTCACCAAGTAACTGTATTAGTCTTCTTTGATAGGTAGCATTTATTTTCAAACTGAATGTGACACTGTAATACCAACTCCTTGCCATTTAAAGCTACAGATTGTTACCTTGAGATTGTCATCTATCAGGGAACACAGGAATTGCCAAACTAGATTGTAATTTTTGTTCAGCTCTGCACAGATTCTTGACTTCAGTGACATTCTGATATTCAGTAATGATATGAAGCATGGAAAAGTATTTCATTTTAAATTTGCCACATTGTAATTTGGTTGAACTTCTCCTTGTTCATGTACTTTGAAATAATTGAATTTTTTACACTATCCTACTTTTTTACATTTTTATTGTGTATTGTTACTCATCTCCTTTTTCAAGCAAGCTGTCCCAATTGTTTCAATCTCTCTCCAAGTAAGAATTTTCTTTGTCCTAGATTTAATTGTCAGTTATCTCTGAAATCATGTGCATTGTTTGCTTGTGCAAACCCAAAATGCTTTTTAAAATCAATATTGCACCTGTAAGCAAGGTACATATGAACTTATTTGTCCTCTATTTTTTTTTTACATGTTGATAAAACACTGAGATCAAAATACCCTTCAATGCATTTCATTAAGTTTTTATTTCATTAATTACTATTAATGTCAATGGAAATTCTGTTGAAAGACTGTGGGTAAAATATACCTCAGAGAGTTCTGCTTAGCAGGAATGGACACACCTCGTTAAAGAGTTTAATTAGCAGAAATTTAGCCACTTACTTATACAGAGTAATTAATAAACTATTCAAATTAAATCATGTTAAATATAATTTCTTTGTGACAATAGTTTCAAAAACAAGGCTGGCAGAAGTTGAGCCTCTCCTTCTCAGCATTCACTCAAGGAGAAACAAGTCTTAACCAGATATGGAAATTTCAAATTTACTTTCTTTTTATGCAGATTTTAAGTCAGGAGTTTTTTCTTTTATGTTATTTATAAAATCAAGAGTAGCACCTGTCCTCCCTAAACTGTTTAAGCATGAAATTTATAATTTGATGTCCAAATACTCAGAACAAGTATTTGCAAATATTCCAGTAAAAAATGCATTTTTGATATCATTACGTTGCATTCAGCTCAGTGGAAACTATTTGTATTTTCTCTGCTGAAAATTAATGTTCTTCACACACTAAATCTTATATTAGAAATCTAAGAACATAAAGAATTTTGTCTTTTTTTAAAGGGCTGATCCATATCTTTGTCACAGTTTTTGTTCACAGCTATTACAGAT